TCCACTTAGAATAAAGATCTGCGAGTGCCGTCCTTAATATTGGAGAAATAAGTTTACATTTTAAATGTGTCTTTCCACCTGTATATGTGCACACAGTAATGATGCAATGCATTGTAGGGGCTGCTCCTTATTTCCAGTCCATTCCCAGGCCGTCATGTCTCGACAATTCAAATTTCCAGTGATTTTAGTCTTACCTGAATGTTTTTTTTCAGTTTGTGAGAACTGATCTTCCTCATCAGTATTAATGTTCTGGGGTTTATAGCAAATATCTTATTCTACAATTAACATATTGATCCTCTTATCTAAGATGCTAATTCCTTATTCCTCGCGCAAAATGAAAAATGGAAAAAATAATGAATTGTATGTAAAATGTTCTCCTGAGTTTTAGACATTTAGAGTTTTTGATCATTTACATTTATCGCTCTCCTTCTTGTACAAGCTCTGTTTGTATCAGTGAGCGATGTCCATTTATTGATTAATAACAGGTAATATACAGATCAACTTAGTGTGGTTTTATCAACACGGTCTCTTTACTGGTGTTTAGAAACATTGCTTCAAGCACGTCAGAGAAAAAAAAATAGAGATTGTTCTGATGAACTAGGGAAACGGGAAACTGAGCGTACAGACAGAGAACCTAAAATATTTCCAAAGTATTTTTTTTTTACCTGAGCTAAAAATAGGGTTCAGGCTATTCATCTAAGGCAGGGGTAGGCAACCTTCGGCACTCCTGATGTTGTGGACTACATCCCCCATAATGCTCTTACAGCCGTAATGCTGCAAAACATCAAAGGAGATATAGTCCACAACATTAGTAGTGCCGAAGGTTGCCTACCCCTGATATAACGTAACAATGTGGGTTTCACCATTCATCTAGGACAGCAATAGGGGTCTGGCCATTCATCTAAGGTAAGAATGGGAGGTCTGTCTATTTCTGAGGTAACAGTAAGGATTGATGGGGTTCAGTAGGTTTTATACACCCAGCAGGACTGTGAGCTGAGCATCACATTCCTTCTCCTGTTATAATAAAGTGCAGTACAATCAAACAGAATAGAAAAATCACTTTCTTCTGCCAGGACAGCTAGAAGCCAAGATTCCCTAATTCTGATGTTAAGTGAAAGGAGAGAGTACCGATGGGGAAATGGTAAATTAAGTTGTAACAATGGATCTAAAATACTACATGCACAGCACCCCCTCACCACATTGATCCCTGCCTATAGGAAAACAGAAATAGCTATCCCTTTAAAACATTGACATTTCCTTCTTGTGCATAAGTCTGCTTCTGTCTCTGGTCCCTCACTGACTTTCAGAGAGTGCACAGGACACTGAGGACAGTACAGGAGGTTGTTTGTTTAAATTACAAATCATTTTGTCTGCTAACTGCAGGCAGGGATACCCGGCCGCGTATATAACAGTCCTGTGAGAGTGAACCCAGTACACAGGGAGCTAAAGTAAAATGAAAAGAATAGAAAGGGCTATTACCATGTTTTCATGAAATACAGAAATCTCCTTTAAGGTGGTGACAGTTCAGTATGCCCTTAGATGATTTAGGAGGCCCCAGACAGTGTAGGCCTGAGGCGGCCACCTAAAACGCCTAATTAGAGAGCCGCCTCTGCTCCCAGTGCTTCCAGCCGGTGGCATTGGGCGATACTTGTGAGAAGGAGCATTCTTACTTCACCACCCATCTTACGTTTGGGGCCATGTGCTGCCCCAAACTATTGACATATTTGCATAATCTCTCTACTAGCTCCTCATATACGTCGATACTATCCCTTAGTGTTACATCACCTTGACAGTTTATACCGATAATGAAACCGTATGCCATATCCCGAAGCAGACACAAAAATTTGAATCTGTTACATCCTTTGACGCTCCATGGTCTTGATATAAAACCGTTGGCTCTCCACCAGATTTGTTTTTATGGACATACACTGTCAGGGTATTTATATCGGCAGACATTTTGTGCTATGATAGAAACTAAAAGTGTATATTCTGAGTCACTCTGAACAGACCAGACTCCATTTTGTTATTTTCAAGTTAACAAAAAGACACAAGATTTCTTTCTGTAAGACTAGCCACTTTGCCAGAGCTAAGGAATGCATAGCATAGTATAGACAGTTAAATTTTATTATTTAATCTTCTCTGTCACAATTGTCTGTGTTTCGATTTGATTATATTCTTCTTATCACTTGTTTATACTATGCTATGCATTCCTTAGCTCTGGCAAAGTGGCTAGTCTTACAGAAAGAAATCTTGTGTCTTTTTGTTAACTTGAAAATAACAAAATGGAGTCTGGTCTGTTCAGAGTGACTCAGAATATACACTTTTAGTTTCTATCATAGCACAAGATGTCTGCCGATATAAATACCCTGACATAACCCCCCTTTAGTGCATTTCATAGCCAAAATTAATTTAGCTTATGAATAAGCACTATAGAAGTTATCAGACATATTGTGCAATCACATCATTTCTAACACAGTACATTGTTTTCATTTGAAAAATGTCTTTGGGAGTTACATATGGTATGGCCAATAAAAAGCAAATCTCCATACGTTCCGGATTAATTAAGAGAGGTATAGCGCTCCCCATCTCAAAGGCCAGATTTAATTGCATAGGCTCAATTGTTTCTCCATCCACATTGGCAAGCATCGCATGAACAATATCCTTGGATACAAAGTACAGAGGTATGCGTCCCCCTGCCAATTCGATCATTCCAGTTTGCATTTCGTTGAGAAAAACAAGTGTGTGGAACAATATTGGGTCATGCAGAAATAAAAGTTCACGCTTAAATAAGTCATGACTTTGGTGCAACTCAGTGGATTTGGCAATTAACTCC